AGGAAAAAATCTTGAAGACACAAGATGGCCTGTCCTTAATCTTGAGCATGTTCCATGCATCAAGAGGCGTCTAGATATCAAAGCACCATCACCCCCTCAAGGTTCGTCTTCCAGTAGTGACAGCGAGGATGAAACAACAATCCATCTAAAGAAACAAGAGAAAAATAATATGAATATGGCAATACCTCCAAGTAAAGTGTCTCAGGCTGGAAGTCATGACCCACATACACAGTGGCCTGCCCTTGATCTCAAGCAAAATACAAGCATCAAGAGGCGTCTCGATATCAAAGCCCACTCCCCAGCTTCTGGTTCATCTTCTAGTAGTGACAGTGAGGATGAAACAACAGGCCACAAAGAGAGGCCAGTGAAGGTGGACATAACAGAACCCACATTTCAAGATTCTCAAACACAAAGTCATGATCGAGACAATAAGTGGCCTGCGCTTGATCTCAAACAAACTATGCGCATCAAGAGGCGTCTAGATATCAAAGCACCATCACCAACTACAGGTTCATCTTCCAGTAGTGACAGTGAGGAGGATACAACAAAGAACCAAGAGAAAGAGCATATAATCATGGCAAGGCCTCCAAGTAAAGTGTCTCAAACTGCAAGCCATGACCCACAACCACTATGGCCTACCCTCGATCTCAAGCAAACTACACGCATCAAGAGGCGTCTAGATATCAAAGCCCCCTCCCTGGCTTCTGATTCATCTTCCAGTAGTGACAGTGAGGATGAAACAACAGGCCACAAAGAGAGGCCAGTGAAGGTGGACATAACAGAACCCACATTTCAAGATTCTCAAACACAAAGTCATGATCGAGACAATAAGTGGCCTGCGCTTGATCTCAAACAAACTATGCGCATCAAGAGGCGTCTAGATATCAAAGCACCATCACCAACTACAGGTTCATCTTCCAGTAGTGACAGTGAGGAGGATACAACAAAGAACCAAGAGAAAGAGCATATAATCATGGCAAGGCCTCCAAGTAAAGTGTCTCAAACTGCAAGCCATGACCCACAACCACTATGGCCTACCCTCGATCTCAAGCAAACTACACGCATCAAGAGGCGTCTAGATATCAAAGCCCCCTCCCTGGCTTCTGATTCATCTTCAAGTAGTGATGGTGAAGATCAAACAACAATCAATATCAAGAAACAGGGGCAAGAGCATATTAACATGGCAAGACCTGAGAGTAAAGTGTCTGAACCTGTAAGTCATGACCCACAACCACAGTGGCCTGCCCTTGATCTCAAGCAAACTACAAGCATCAAGAGACGTTTTGATATCAAAGCACTCTACCCAGCTTCTGATTCATCTTCTAGTAGTGACAGTGAGAATGAAACAACAGTCCACACAGAGAGGCTAGAGAAGGTGGATATTACAGGAAGCAAATTCCAAAGTTCTCAAACACAAAGTCATGATCCAGACACAAAATGGCCTGTTGTTAATCTTAAACCGACTATGCGCATCAAGAGGCGTCTAGATATCAAAGCACCATCACCACCTGAAAGTTCGTCTTCCAGTAGTGACAGTGAGGATGAACCATCAATCCCTATAAAGATACGGGGGCAAGAGCATATAATGATAGCAAGGCCTCCAAGTGAAGAGTCTCAATCTGTAAGCCATGACCCACAACCACAGTGGCCTGCCCTTGATCTCAAGCAAACTACAAGCATCAAGAGGCGCCTAGATATCAAAGCACCATCACCACCTGAAAGTTTGTCTTCCAGTAGTGACAGTGATGATGAAACAACAATCCACCCAAATAAACAAGATAAAAAGCATATAATCATGGCAAGGCTTGCAAGCAAAGTGTCTCAAACTGCAAACCATGACCCACAACCACTATGGCCTGCTCTCAATCTCAAGCAAACTATGCGCATCAAGAGGCGTCTAGATATCAAAGCACCAGCGCCAACTCAAGGTTTGTCTTCCAATGGTGACAGTGAGAATGAAACAACAATCCACTTAGAGAAACAAGCGCAAGGACATATAAACCTGGCAACCCCTCCAAGTAAAGCGTCTCAGACTGTAAGTCGTGTCCCACAACCACTATGGCCCACCCTCGATCTCAAGCAAACTACACGCATCAAGAGGCGTCTAGATATCAAAGCCCCCTCCCTGGCTTCTGATTCATCTTCCAGTAGTGATGGTGAAGATCAAACAACAATCAATATCAAGAAACAGGGGCAAGAGCATATTAACATGGCAAGACCTGAGAGTAAAGTGTCTGAACCTGTAAGTCATGACTCACAACCACAGTGGCCTGCCCTTGATCTCAAGCAAACTACAAGCATCAAGAGACGTTTGGATATCAAAGCACTCTACCCGGCTTCTGATTCATCTTCTAGTAGTGACAGTGAGAATGAAACAACAGTCCACACAGAGAGGCTAGAGAAGGTGGATATTACAGGAACCAAATTCCAAGGTTCTCAAACACAAAGTCATGATCCAGACACAAAATGGCCTGTTGTTGATCTTAAACCGACTATGCGCATCAAGAGGCGTCTAGATATCAAAGCACCATCACCACCTGAAAGTTCGTCTTCCAGTAGTGACAGTGAGGATGAACCATCAATCCCTATAAAGATACGGGGGCAAGAGCATAAAAAGATGGCAAGGCCTCCAACTGAAGAGTCTCAATCTGTAAACCATGATCCACAACCACAGTGGCCTGCCCTTGATCTCAGGCAAACGACAAGCATCAAGAGGCGTCTAGATATCAAAGCCCCGTCCCCAGTTACTGATTCATCTTCTGGTAGTGACAGTGAGGATGAAACAACAATCCACCTAAAGAAACAGGTGCAAGGGCATATAAGCATGGCAAGACCTCCAAGTAAAGAGTCTCAGACTGTTAGTCATGACTCACAAACACAGTGGCCTGCCCTTAATCTTGACCATACTATGCGCATCAAGAGGCGTCTAGATATCAAAGCTTCATCCCCCCCTTCTGATTCATTATCAATCCACACAAGAAGCAGTAGTGAGGATGAGTGCAGGGACCACACCAAAATGGGATTGGGAGTATCTGCCATATCAAAGACGACAGACAATCAATTAATTATATCGCCAAAGTCCCCAGTGATAAACATTTCTCGCAGTCCAAAAACTGACTACAATATCCAATTAGAAAAGTATACAGTTATCACAGATGATAAGGGGGACAAAACAAAAAGTGCTAACATGAGCACAACACCAGCGATAACCCCAGAACTTGAGTCGCGGTGGGCCACAATGAATCTTGGCATCTCCCGCTTCAGAAAGCGTCTAGAAATCTCACCACATACGCATGAACCACCAAATCTTTCCTCATTACCTCCACCTGACTCCCCCTCCTCTTCCAGTGAAAATGGGACTGGGGGTAAAAGTAGCAGAACAAGACGAGAGAGAAGGGGAGCTGGAGTATCCCAGGATCAGACCTCTCTGCATGCGGCCCAAGCTGTCAATCTCAAACCGGTCCAGCCACAAAGCCAAACTGAGGAGGTTCAGTGGACGACCAGGGTAGAGCTCAAAAGCCAAATACCAAAAGTAGAGGAGGCATCTGACTCTGTGCGGCCTCATTTGAGTTTCCCCCATGTCAAGCGGTCTCTGGATATCAGAGTACCATTACAAACTAAATCATCCTCCAGCAGCAATAGTGAGAATGAGAAGATAGACCCCAGTGTTCCTGACCTGAGTCTTGGTGTCCCACGCATTAAGAGGCGTCTGAATGTAAAAGCACCATTACCAGAGTCATCTTCCAGCAGTGAGAATGAAAATGAGGCGATAGGATCCACTGCAAACCAAAGCAGACTTTTGTCAAACATATCAGCAATGACAGATAATGACTCTCTAATCACCTACAAGCGTGTTATTATGAAAGCTTCGTCTCCGCCAGGTAATTCTGTCTCCTTTAGTGGCAAGGAGCAAACTGCCACAAAGAGAGTTCTCAGTAAGAGTTTTGAGGGTGTAGAAAGGAAAAGGATTGAGCAACACAAACTCATATCACCTGTGGACCTGCCACCTGAGTTGAGATGGACTGGTGTTGGTCGTCAGCTGTCTGATCTGACCATCCCAAGGAGACATCTGGATGTTGGCTCATCACAGACTGTATCTGAAGACAACAATGAAAGAAAAGGCCTTGGTGCCCTAAAAGCCATGTCATCAGAGAGACGAAGGTGGGACACATTGGATGAAAATGTCGATAAGAAAGCATCTCTAGACCCACTAACACAATCACGTATTTCCTCTACTTCAGCTGTTGATAGAAGAGCTAAAGATGTGTTGTATGATATTCCCCATTACAGGAGGCATGCCATTGGAGGTATTAAAGCACTGCAGGGGGCTCCACCTCCTATTCCAGCAACTCCACCACCACAGTATGAGCCAGTAGGGCTAACATGGAGGTCTCCACAGAGCAGTAAGCAACAAGGGTTTCTAGGAAGTAGATCTTATCTTGAGAGCAGAAACACAGATGAGTTTGACAGCTCTAACCCAAACTCACAAAATCTGGAAGTCAATGTTGATTCCTTAAATGTGAACATTAGTGAAGTTTGATTTTAACAGAACGTTTCTGCAACCTAAACACTCACAAAAGACGCAAATAATTGGCAGTTCAAAATCTTGATTGGCCAGTAAATTACAAATACTGTATTATATTTCACCATTAAGCCCAAAATGAAATGGAAATTATTTATTGTATGGCACCATGTTTATTTTTCAGAATTGCCTTATTTCTGTAAATTGCTTCTTTTTCTTTTTTCATTATAAAAGTTTGTCTGTTATTGATTTTTGTAACAAGAATTCATATAATCTTAATAGTCATGTATTGCACATTATAATCCCTTTACAATACAATGCTCAGCTTCCATTTGTAGATATAAGTACATCTTAATAGTGACGAATATTATAATAGATTTATTTTGTTCGCGCTTTTACAGGTGCTCAAAGTCGCTTCAGAGATAGTGAAAATAAATTATGAACACAATATTAACTTAAGAACCGAAATATAAGACAGTAAGTTAATAAACCCATTTTATTTATGTATATAGACATAGGTTATAGTGAAAACAGACATATAGACACTTACATACATATATACAGTTGGGACAAGGGCGTTCAACCTCCTGCATTGTCATTGGAGTACTCAAACATCAATCTCTACACAGTATTTGGTAAGCAATCCAACAACTACCTCAATCTTAGATTTTATGCTGATAGTTGATGCATTGTAATGACATAAGAGGATTTCAAAGTGTCAGCTGCAGTGTACTTCAATGACAAGAGCTGATGTATTTTATCTTCACAACAAAGTTCCATGTGTGTTTTTAAGTGTATCATGTGTAAATAAAAATAAATAAAAAATAGATCCTATATACTGTCTGCAGCTATCTAAAGATTTACAGCATGTTTAAGGATGTCAAAGATGGGCTAATGCAGGAGGGAACTCCTGCTCCACCGTGAGGTTACAGGTGTGTTCCAGGTCTTAATAGACACAATCATGTTGTTCATCAGAATTAACATACCATGATTGTGAATATCAAATTAAGCAAAAAACACTTGCACAAATTCCTGTACAAAACTAAAACAAGTTTGAAAAATGTTTTCAAAAATCTCATCCATTCACAAAAGGCTCTGTTGGAGCATGCATGCAAATATTAAATCTGACGATTCAGCATCACACCACAGCCAAGGACAGAAATGTATACATGTGTTACAAGAACATTATACTAGGCGAAAATAACAGCATAGCATCATCACACAGTTCAAAACTGTAAGTGTTTTGATTAGATCCTACGGTGGTAAAAAGCAATGCTTTCAGCAAACCTACCTTTCAACTCAAGCCTTAAGGACCTCGTCCTGAGAGGGTCACTGGTCTTCCACTGTAGTTATATTAACACTTTCAGTGTTCGGAGAGATGCTACTAGTAAGAAACCTGAAACTATCAGCTGACTAAGGAGGACAAAACAGATGTCACACATCAAGACAAAATGGACACCAACCAGCTCTATCTCAATTTGTAACACAGCCCAAACAGTCTGAATTCATCCTGAAAGAATCCCTGACCACTCAGTGTGTGTGTTGTATGTGTTCTCATACGTGTATACACACACACACATTTGGGTTTGTATGTGTGTGGGACACAGTGTGACTTCCATGTTTTGAGGCACAAAAATACTCTTACCTACACAACGTAAATTGGTCAACGGACCAATAAATGCTGATCGGAGCACTAGTGGCTCACCACTGTACTGTAATAAGAGTTGGTAAGCAGCAATGCTGATTTGTTTGGTGTTATGAGGTCTGAAGCCTTTACAGAGGGTAAGCAAACGGTTAGCCTTAGCTGGAGCAAAACAGCAGGAAGGAACAAAACTGGAGGGGGAAAAAAGAGAAAAATCACTGGCACAAATCAATAGTAAACAGAACAGGCACCAGAAACCTGCGATCAATCATTTGACACAGTGTGCTTCTTGTAGAACTCCTATCCAACAACAAATATGACAAACCAATAGTTAGTGCCATCTGTCCAGAAAAAGCTCAAGTTCATTGCACAGATGTATAATATTTAAATGTGCCCACTGCCCAGGTCAAAGTGGCCCTGTTTAAGACTCAGACACAATGCATGAATGGTCACTGTTTCACAGCTTCTCTGTGCTTGTAGACAAGGACTGAGGAGTGGTTCTCCCACACAAACCATTTTGCTTCCATCGTCCACGTATGATACCATGTTAACACAGACAGCAATATGACATATCACAGTGAGAGAGCATTGCCACTGGGGATTGCTGCAAGCTTGCCCACTATGCACTTCGGTAGGGAACATAACTTCCACAATGGCAGTCCTCCACCTCCGCGCTCCGGGATGCATGCACCCAGGCTGCAAACCCAGTGTCCCCACCCTAGCCCCCCCACAGAACCCCTCCTTTATCTGGAAGCACCCACAGTCACTGCTTTACCATTTTTGTATTGTTAACTTATTGGTTGTTGATTCTCATAGTCGTTGTCACAGTTGTATTTTTATTCCTTTGTACACTGCCCTATGACATCTGTCTTTCCTTGTACCATTCCACAAACTCGTCCAACAAAACTGGCCCTGAAAAAGGAACAAGACCAAAAAGATGATATTAGACAAAAAATATTTGAGTAAGAGTAACATAAAGCACTGTTGTCACGTTTTTGTGTAAATGTGTGTTCACTCACAGGCACCATCCTCATCGTAGTTACTGAGGTCCAGGTTGATTGTCCTGCTGAACTCTAAAACATTGCACCATTGGTCTTTGTTGATGACTTTGTACTTGGATTGCTGAGGAAAAGTAAACACATGCCTTATTAATATAGTAAAACAACTTTTTAAAACCCTAACCAGACATTTATTTAAACAATGTTGCCTACAACTACTGTATTGGGCATATTTGATCTGAGCAAATGTTGTAGAGAGAATATGTGAACATGAGGCTTACCTCTAGAAACTGATTAAACACAGGAAACAGAGGCCACGTCTTGCCCAGAAGAAGCCCAAGCATACACTTGGCTGTGTTCAAGTCCAAACTCCTCTGATCCTTTTCCTGCCCAATCAAAGACACCCACGGCTTCATGAAATCATTGCAAAGGGGCAGTCTAATAGCATCTTTATCATCAACATTAGCCCAATACAGAGAACAGTCTTATTTCCTTAACCCACTGCTGTAAAGTTCACAAGAATATAACATTTTTATCACAATCACTGAGTCATGTTTTCATTCATTTTTCCATTCACTCTAAAAGAGTGAGTTGCTTTCCATAAATCATGGAACAATGTCTTCATGAGAGAAAACTCAGGCTATGTATATGCAACACATTTGATAAGTGCTTTCCCACTCCAAGTCAAACTGGAAAATGATCTTGACCTCCTCAAAGCGTCAAGATTGGTCTGAACATTGGCTTGAATAAGACCTTATGAGAATTTCAATCAGGCACACTTGGCACAGGGATTATATACAGGGGTGCACATAACTTTTTGAGTGAGTTACTCCGATGAGTACCAGGAGACAGCGTTTGGTACTCACCCCACACGAAGCGTGGTCCTCCTCAGTGTCCTCTATTTACACTTCTTGCATGCTAGATGATGAAGATGCACCTCCCTGTCTCTTTTTAATCCTCCGATTTGCTTTCTCCAAAACTTGTTGGCAAAACTGTGAAGTCCTAGCATTACTTGAGGCCAAGTTGAAGGATCAAATACTAAGAAATTATCACATGACTTGAAGTCATATCTGATTTCAGATGTGGGAAGTTACTACACTTATTCAAGTACTGTACTTATGTACAATTTTGAGATATTTGTACTTTAATTGACTTTGATGCTACTTTGTTCTTCTACTCCACTACAGTTCAGAGGTAAATGGTGTACTTTTACTCCACTACATGTATTTAATACCTTTAGTTACTTTACAGATGTGGATTAATGATGTGAAATATAATCAAGTCTTAAATCAGACTTGATAAATATAAATAATATATATGATAAAACATATCATATATATTATTCTGAAATGGACCAATCTGCACAACTTTTACTTTTGGTACTTTAACTATATTTTGATAATACTTTTCTAATTTTACTTGGGTAACATTTTGAATGCAGGACTTTTACTGTAACAGAGTGTTCCTACACAAGATCTGAGTACTTCTTCCACCTCTGTCTGATTCCAAACTCTTCCATTAACACCCTGAGTAAGTTGGCAACTGTGTGTTTTAAATAAAACTGCAGTAGCTTGACCACAGAGCGTGAACGTTGTGATCAGCTGCTGATTTTGCGCAGTTCTCCAGTGTGTGTGCGGGGCACAGAGTGTGCTCAGGGGAGTTCTGTTGTTCATACCGACGATAACCCTGTCTGTGCACACGGCGACCAACTCTGTTGTCCGGTGACCTAAGCCTCTGCCTCCTGTAAGCTTCACAGGTCCGTCGGTTATGTCCTGCGCGGCTCGGCCAGCTCCAGTTCTATCAGTCATAGAAAGTCAGAAGATTTTTTGCAGGGAGCGAAACGGCAACGTAGCTGCTTAATGTCTTTTTTTTGTTTTGTTACATGTCTCGTAGTTTACTTAATTGAGTGTTGACAAGAAACACGTGTAGACAAAATATGTGTTTTGTTTTGATGTTTTGAGGTACGCAAAGGCACGTAGTGACACAAGTGACGTTACGCAATTCAGATTTGTGCCGCGCATGCGTACCTGCGTACCAGTTATGTGCACCCCTGATTATATATTTAAAATGAACTGAATTTTTTCACAATGCTGTGTATGTAAGCGGAAAAATACTTTTTCTTAACTCACCCGAGCAAAATCAAAGGCATATCTATATATGAGCTTAAAACTGGTGCTGTCGTTTAGGACAGATCTCAGGTAGTCGAGCGAGTTCCTCAGCCTTTCTGTGGAGTCACACCTGATAACGGCAGAAAATTGCTTTAGTATACTCTACACTTCACTACCTGCTCTGCTCTACTCTAGAAAGACATGACTAGAGACAGAGCAAACACACAGCAATGCCACAATCATTCTTGAATACAGCATGCAGAAATACACAGAGTAGGTAACGGACATACTGCAGTGAGCCCATGCCTCTCAGCCACTCCTGGAGAGTGAAGTATCCCATACTCTGCGCATCCAGCTTCCACGCAAGAACCAGCATCACCACCTGGACACAGACAAAATCCTTTATAGCCACAGATAATGTGTCAATCTATCAACTGAATGACATGTCTATTACAAGTCAAACACAGAAAACAACTGACCTCAGTAACACTTGAAAAAAATGAGTTGAAAATGTAGTGTTTTGAATAAGTTACTATTGATTTCATGCTAACTGTTCATTGTTATTAAATCTGAAGTTAGGAGAAATAGCCATCAAATCCCACAGTCCAAAAGTGTCCTTAAATTAATTGCTTAATTTGACTGACAGCCAGAAATAAAAAAATTATTGAAAAGCGAGCAAACGGTGACCACCCCCGATATAACCAAAATACAAGAAGTCAGCTTACGTTCTCTGGTTCGACTCCGATGTCCTCACATAACTTTTCCATGCCCTCGGGACCCACCACGTCATCACAACCTATTTAAGACCAACAAGTGTGAAGCCACATGGAGCTAAAAACATACGTCATTGATCAAATGCTAATGTTAATTAAGTGATTACTTGCGCACATTTTTCACCTGCATATTCATAGAACCACTCCAGGCATCTTTTACTGGAAAATGTTTCCTCCTCACGGATTTGTGGTGTTTCATGTTTTCTGAAAACGCTGCAGATGAAAAGAGAGTTATGTCTCAATTTCAGTAGCGACACACAAGCAAATCATTTCAAAAAGTACTCAATATGATTTAAAGGGCTCTTTGTAGTCTGGGTATCCTAACATGCCAGACATTCATCTTTAATTAGAGACAATAATCAAGAGCTCCTTAATAACCAACAAGACCAAAGCAGTCGTTTTGCCACCTCTAACACAATAGTTGTCACACCTGTCCTGGCGACTTTTTTTGGCTGACATGTCATCTCCAGCTGAGGGTCTCCTCTTTTTCCTAGGAGGCATGGCTCTAGAGCAACACGCTAGGGAAGGAAATGGAAGACAGAATGAAAGAGGGCTACTTCTAATTAATACAAAGATCATGCTTATTTTCTCTTGGTAGTCGTGTATGTACTCTGTAAGAAACAGCTTTAACAGTAGCTAAGCATAACTTTCATAGCATTGACAATGGGGTGAGTTTGTATACATAGACTATGAAACACACAAGGGCCAGGTGATTTTACCTGAGGGGAGGCTATCCTGTCCAACGTCTTCTGTCAGGTGCTATTGAAACCGACACACTTGTGATTAGGACACAGATGAACACACTCACAAAAATAAAATATTCAACATGTGACCAGCTGCCAAAATGTATTTACCAGCCTATGCAAGGTGTGGTGGATCTTATGGATGCTGGCCAGTGTAGTCAAGTGGGAACTCAGCTGTAAATCTATTTCAACAAAAGAATAAAGATACCATCAAACCAAAGCATAACACACAACCTTCTGTCCCTAATTTAACTTGTTAGCTTGGTGTGTGAGCACAAGGGTACAAGAAGGTGACATCATCGTAGCACCAACAGGAACCTGGAATGTTAATGTTTGGCAAAGGTCTTCAGTGTCCAAATGACTGTCGTGTGATTTCTACTTGACGTCTCAAACGACAAAAATATCTAACACGAATGAAGGAGTAACTCTCTGCATTCCTCGAAAGGCAACAATACTCGATTCTTGATCGTGCATGCTACCTTATCGAGAAATATCATCTAAGCATTCCCGTCCAAACGCTGTCATCAAACACCGATGCTTTTAATGTATTTGTAGAGGCCAAAACCAGAGGAAAAGCTCACTCCCGAGCAGATAGCACTAGCTGCATGCCTAAAATAGCAGTGCAGACCCGCAACTTGCACAGAGTTTACAAAGTATCTAGAGAGTTGGGCGTATGGTTGTTGTAGTCCATTTCCTTTAAAGGGGCCATCGCAAACTCTGCTCCGGTTGTGAAACTGAACTACAATTCCCAAGCCTTAACTAAACAACTATTTCTTTCAGACCCCTCTACCCCCAACACTTACTATGTCAACTGATTGAATGCATTATACGTTGTCTTGTAAAAATCTAACATCATATTTCGAGTGGCCCACAAGCATTGCGCAGACGTTTTGGAGCAGTTGCTGTTTGTGCCGCAAAGCCCGACAGCACTGCTGCAGCAGGCAGTGAAATATGTTTTCCAAAACTGCGTCACAATTTTCTTTCTCTCTAATAGTCCGCAGTTGCCCAGAAAATTGACCTATTTATAATGGCAATAGGTCCATACTAAGTTCGAGTTGAAACGCACAGTGCATCTTTAGTTATGATGACTAAAAACATCACAACGCACAGATTACTATCAAAAACCTTCTGGATTTAACTAACGTCGGCTGCATTAAACTGAGCCCTGCTAGCGCTACACAGAAAAATCACCCCAGGATGACTGACGTGTCAAATAAAACACCCTGCATGTCCAAAACAACTCAAATTACTCTAGCTATCCTTCCTTTGTTGTCGCCCAAGACAACACTGGCAAATACAAAGGGACGGAATAGCACGGAATTCATACGTTCCCATCCGTCCAAGAGAGACACGGGCTAAAAGTAGATCGTATCTCCGACAAACTCTGCAGCATCCGTGAAGATTCGTAATTTCATACAGAAAAGCCTCTATAACGTTACTACTTACTTGCCGCATCAGAGTGCATTTTTATGAAACATACAACTGTCTGTGGGAAGTCCTGAGACCGGCCAATAGGCGGGCCTTGTCCACGTAAACCACACCCCCAGACGGTGATTGGATCTGGGAAAGCTCAGTCCCCGCCTCTGGTCGCTGCATATTTGCCATTCAAGGTGTCATGTAAAGAGGAAAAGAGGAAAAGGAAATAGATCCCGCCTACGCACACATGTGATAAGTCAGAGTTTCCAAACAGGTTGCACTTGCTCTGTGATTCATTGGTTATGAGGTTATTATGAGCACGTCAGTCACCAGAGTTTCCACGTGCATGCTTAAAGCCAGCCCACGATGGAGTCTGATTGGTCAATGTGGTAATAATTCGGCCTCCCGTTGAAGCTTTCTGTTTGCCTCATGGATGCGAACCATGTGAACTCAACAACCTGGAGCAAGCTGGTGGCGGTGTGTATGACAACGTGAGTTATGTCTCAATTCATGATGACCCAACCTAAAACCGGCAGTGCTTGTCATTTCTCTGCAGGGGTGGGAAAAAGTCTGTGTTATGGTCTGGTCCACTTCCAAGTCATGCTTCAGTTGCATACAGTTTGGCAACCGTGAGCAGCCCTATTATCAGGTGAAAATCCTTAGTTATGATTTAAAATCATAGACTGTATATATAAAGGTTACAATCTGTTACCTTGACTGCAAGGTTCAAGGCTTGTATTGGTCATACGTACATTACATAGGCAGCTACATTGTAGTTATGACGATGAACACCTTAGGTCACAGGCTCCTCCAACAGTGCAACACAATAAAACAGAACAAAAAATATATATAGTTCAAGTAAATACAAAAAGAAAAATAGTGAAATACTGCAATAACGAGGACGAAAACGGTCGTTTGCGTTACTGTTTAGTGTCATATAGACCGTTCGGCCACACGAGGACGACCGAATACGGCACAAACGAATGCGGAAATTATAACGGGTCCCAAGGTGGATAGAACGGCATACGCAACGCTCTGGGGGGTCCAACGGCTCCGTGTGTACGCCCTGGCCTATACGATCATTTTCTGATAATGATGAGGCAATAGCCCCGCCTCTCCCCACCTCTGCTGCTCACCCCCGCGTCAAAGTAAACTGCACACTGAATTCAGATTATTTATCTTTCTCTCGATATGGACATAAACGCGAGTGAAGTCTAATCTGACAGGATGGAGACACCTCTCAAACTACCTAAACTAGTTATAAATATGTTTACTTTTACTGTCGGCCGGGTCACTCATTACTGGATCAGCTGCTGCATGAAACAGACACTGAGCTGTCCGAAGAGAGGGAGGAAAAAGAGACGCTCCATGTATTTTATTATTATATTATATAGAGTCGTTATTCATTTGTTTTAAAGCTCAATAAATAACAAAGAAGACCTTTGACCGGCACTTTTATAATTTTGTCGGAAGATTTAAACTTTAATACACGTTTGACTGGCGAAAAACTCTGCCCGGTTCCCTCGGCCCCCACCGCGGAGAATAAACAGAAGGGCAACCATGACAACCATGCTTCTTCGCTGCTTTTGTGGAGGAAGTTACAGCGCCACGTACAGGCTCCTGCATATGTACTGCAGCTTCTCCAGCGGTTGGAGCTAAACGGAGCTGTGTCGTGTGGACAGACATTAGGCTTGTTTGAGACAAGCGAGACCTGCGCAGAACTGCGCAATTTCGATCAACGTCTTGCTCGTGCGTTGCATGATGGTTAGTCATTTTGTCCGACTTGCTCTGGAGGCTCGCCTACATGAGACGTTAAAATCTCGCGGGACAAAGACGCCCGCAGCCTTGAGAGCGAGGCGCGGCGAGGCGGCGCAGTTCCTCTCCACGGGCTGCGGAAGCGAAATGCTTGATGGGAAACGACTCGCTGGTATCTCGAGCTGAGCGCTCATTGGTGGTTTTTTCCACGTGCTGGTGATGAAACTCTCCAATTGGCTGGGCAAAAGTTTGTTGTTGTTTTGTGTCAGTTTTACGTCGCCACTTCCATTCACATTTTTCATCATTGTTCCACAATATTTATCATCATTAAATTAATATCCATATATTTTATACTATACTTGCATTGCTTACCGTTTTCATACTTTATATATCTTAGCATATTCATACACACTGTTCATACTGCTCTCAGGCTGCTGTGTATATCTGTGTATTCATACCCCTCACTGTTTATTCATCATTCAATTCATTCTATATTTTATTCTGTAGATTGTGTACATTACTTTTCACTTTACTGCTTGTTGCACCTGGTTAGAATCTAAACTGCATTTCGTTGTCTCAGTACCTGTAATAGGCTATGTGCAATAACAATAAAGTTGAATCTAATCTTGAGCAGGAACAAATGTATTTACTTAGTACATAACTGACATTAACGATTAAACACATGTGTGCATTCTTATAAATGGCAAAAACCGAGTCAGCCGACTCCGAGAGGCCAGCAGTATGCACCTTCAAGCATGTTGTTTGTCAATCCGCCAAAAAAACCGAGAGAAGAAGAAGAAGAAGGAAGAAGTAGAAAGAAGAAGACAGGAAGGAAGAAGAAGGAAAGACGAAGAAGAATGCAAGAAAGAAAGAAGAAGAAGAGAATAGGACAGAGAAGATGAAGAAGAAGACGAAGCTACTAAGAAGAAGAAGACGAATAGAATATAGATAGAGAAGCAGAAGAAGAAGAAGAAGAAGAAGAAGAAGAAGAAGAAGAAGAAGAAGAAGAAGACTCCGAGCTGTCCGACTTCAGGCAAGCTTTTTGAGACCTCCCCCGGCTGCGATCGGCTATTCTCGTCTACTTTCGAGGCGAGCCGCAACGCGTCTCAAACAAGCCTACTATCCGGTGAATATTGCGTGTGGACGGAAGCTTTTTTGCGTTTGCGTTAATCCTATGCATTTAGCCGTTTTCGTCCTCGTGTGGCCGGGGCCTATATGGGCCATTCTACCGAATTGGACCAAAGTTAGTTTGGAAATGTTTTGAAATGTTGCATGTTTTTTTCCCAAAACTTTGTCCATATATATGTTGTACAATATGTAAATTACACATATCTATTAAAAGAACCGTACATTTTTATATCGTATTTTCAGGAATATTGGAATGTTCTACCTCTACGAAAAATGGTCACTACCGAAACATAGTACATTCACTATAGTAAAAAAGTATTATATTAAAGGTGGGGTAGGTAATTTTGGAGAAACCAGCTCGAGTGTGCTAGAATTTGAAAATAACAGCCGGAAAAAATCTGCCACTTCCTTACAGAGCCCCTCCTCCAACACACACGAACGCGCACATGACCAATGAGGGCACGAGATAAGTTTGTGCACAGATGGAACTGGCTGACAGGCAGGTAGACCATCCAGTTATTTTAGCCGGGCCGGCTAAAATGATTGGTCGTGCTTTTTACAGTACGGCTTCCACGGATGATATTTTTGTATGGATTTGTTTGTCAAAGCACTTAAGATATTCATTGCTATCGGGGGATGTTAAGAGCATTCCATGGAATATAACAAAAAGTGTATCTCGAGACGGTTTCTCAAACTTACCTACCCCACCTTTAACCTGTTAAGATTGTTTTACCTTCCCTTCTCTAAATAGTATTTTAAGGAATATTTATTGAGAGTTTTCACAATTAGATTAATAAAAGTAAAAAAAATTATCAAATTTCAAAGTTGAATTTATACAATTCATAAAAATCATAATGCAAACTTTCTTTGTAAAATGCATAATACTGATCATATTGATTCCAGAGTTGATGATTGTTGAAATTGTTGAAGTTTATATTTAATTAGTATCATATCATTTTAGTTGATGAGTGAATATACTTAATTTTTTACAAAACAACCAGTGTTTCGGTAGTGATCACAGTATTTTGTTCTCAAGGTTGTATCAAATCAAGTTTTATTTATATAGCACATTTATAAACGATTTTTGGTCGAGCCAAAGTGCTGTACATATAATAAAAATAGCCTACAGTAGAGACACTTTACAGCAAATACAACAGCACAGATTGTTCAGAATATCAGTATGAGAAAAACGACACCCTCTGTCCTTAGACCCTCACATCGTAGAAGGAAAAACTTCCAGAGAAAACCCACAGTTTAAGGGGGAAAAATGGGAGAAACCTCAGGGAGAGCAACAGAGGAGGGATCCCTCTCCCAGGACGGACAGATGTGCAATAGATGCCGTGTGTAAATCGAAGAGATAATACATTTTACAGCATATAGACCGAATGTTAGGAAATGCATGTGTCTGTAATAAGAAGATGAATCCACGAGGATGTCAGCTACAATCAGGTGGAAGCCATCAGGGAAGCAGCATGACGAGACCCAAGGCAGGACCGCAGAGACAGGTTCAGCCACGACCCGAAGTCCACGACTTAATCCAGAACTCAGGATAGAGGATCCAAGACACAGGACTACAGCAAGAGGATCAGCCTCGCATCCGGATCCCGGCGTAGATATAGATACAAAACAAGAGAAAATATTTGGCTGGGTTAATCGGAACAAGAGAATACACAGACACAGACAGAGAGGGAAAAGGTCATTGGATACAAGTTATTCTTGATAACCCTCTAGAAAGATCTCATGAACTTCCCCACTAAATCTATCAAGACCCGAGCAGTTCTATTAGATATAGGATAAGAAACAGAGATAGGGAGCACAACAACCAATCAAGGGAATCATATTCCCTCAACTTTATTGCTTAATCTTAACTCATAACATGCCTTATGTTGAAGTGTGAATATTTGAAGCTACTGACCCAGAATCAGCACTTTATTAACAGGCTGAAATAGAGGGGAATGAGGCTAGAATGGGTGATCTGTTTGGTATTTTGAGCAAAACACTTAATAGACAGGTTTTTTACATATCTGAGACCTATAATATATGCCTAACAATAGTATAATAAGAGACCTTTTAAAGTAACACTGATTTTCAGACTTTAAAACACATTTATTTCAAAATGGTGGGATTTAGGCTACCTGCATACCATCCATTTTGTCACTACCGAAACGATCATGTCAATTACCGAAACGTAACCATATGTTTCGGTAGTGACTGTTTCGGTAGTGACTGTTTCGGTAGTGACGATTCTAGCTCAAATTCAGCATAACCAAATAATGCTAGCAAGTACATGGCTAGCATACACGTTTTTGAAGAGGTTTACACACATAAAAACCTAATACTTTGCATAAAACCCCGAAAAAGTTTACTTAATTGAAGATAATATGTGTTCGGTAGTGACAATTCTTAAGGTTACACACCGATTTTCCGATTGTGGAACAGATTTATATCAAAAGTATGGGATATAGCTACTTGCCATTCAGCCATGAGGGACAGGGATGCAGTGTCACTGCCGAGTCAAAAATGCAGGGGTGTGGCTAAAAACCAGGCTCAGCCATTGTGTTTCGTTAGTGACATGAAAACTGGGGACATTTTTTGAGTATAGTCTTTTTATTAACCCACAATAAATCTAAATATTCCAACTTCTGTTTGAATTTAATCATAAAGATCTTCTAAATACACCATTGAACACAATTTAAAAAAACTATTTTAAGTGTTATTTACAGAAATTGAAATTTAGATGTCAGGGTTGGGGACAGCTACTTCCCAATAGAAAGTACCCTATAAATGATGTGTTTGTATATATTTAGCTTATCACTGTCTAATTTAATGCCTTGTGTTTAAATAGACCATAACATATTCTTAGTAAATATCTATGTCTGAATACTTAATCGTTTTGTTAAATAGTTTTTCTTGTTGTGGGACCGCACTTTGTACTAATTTGGTAGAATGCCCCATATACAAGTGGTGTAAATAATTTCTAAGTTGCAGCCAGGTTAATGTTATGGATGTTGTTTCAAAAGTCCAGGTGTTTAATAGTCTTATGGCCTGTGGGATGAAACTGTCCCTTAGTCTGGTGGTTTTAGTCCTGATGCTGCGGTACCGCCTGCCAGACGGCAGCAGACAGAACAGTTTGTGGCTGGGGTGATGGGGGGTCTTTTATAATCCTGAGGGCTTTCTTCCTGAGCCGCTGGGAGTAAAGATCATCCATGGATGGCAGCTCTGTCTTGGTGATGTGCTGTGCAGTTTTCAGCCACTGTGATGCCATTTATTGAGCTTTCACACATTTCTTCTCACAATAATTCAGACTGAAATGAGGATTGCATTGTCACTGCAATGTGCAAAGTGATAATTGCAAAAAAGATTGCAATGTAAAAAAATAAAGATGCCCACAACCTAGCATGTCTAATTGCTCCCCAATTTGTATTTCTATATCAATAACATTTATATTTATAGTATCACAGTTCAATTGGGCCACTAGTTAGCTAGCTAATTGTATTGGATCTTAAGCAGATGACCACCACCACCCTTTAAAAAAGACTAGACAAAAGGGCTTAAATGCCACCATTTTGAGTAAATTCACATTACCTGGAGGTTGCAGGCTGAGCAGAGCACTGCAATGGCTGTTGACACTGTTTGTCTGTGTTTCTACTGTACCTGTTGGTGCCTGCATGAGTAGAGCCAATGTTTTTCTTTTGCAGTAGTAATTTCACAGTAATTTACAGTGCTGGAATGTAGCCTACTACTCATTATACTTCTACCCCATTACAATTCAGAGGGAAATACTGTTACCCCACTGCATTTATTTGACAGTTCTGTGACAAGACTGCCTCTAGTCTAGTGACTGGTTAGACTACTTCAGAGAAGCTTACCTTTAACTCCATGTTTACTGTACAGGGCAATGCTTTTACTGGGCTTGGCAGTTCTCTAGAATTTGTGCTTTTGTTTAAAAACAAGAATAATAGGAATAGTTTTCGCAAAGGAGAACTTCAAAAGTGCACCTATTTTATATATAGTATGTCTATTTTATTTATATGTATAGTAAGTCTTTATATTTTAAACACACACTTTATCTTTAATTTTATCAGCACCAAGTCACTATTATTTATTTATATGTACAATTTTAGCAAGTTTTTATATTGTCCTGTTCCTGTAAGCCAGTACAACGAAATTTCGTTTTAATAGTACACTCTGTGTCTTGTTGAAATGACAATAAAGTATGTCTAAGTCTAAGTTCAGTTAATAGACATTTTTCAAAGCAATAGTGGATTTTCAGCATTGTTAAACAACAGTCATCGTTATCATTTTGAAATATCCTTGAGCAAGACAATTTGTGCCAGTATTAACTCAGTGCCTCTGATACAGTATCACTCGTTGTTATTCTATCAAGTGTAATAAACCCTTATTGATTTAACAGAACCAGTACTGACCTTTGGAGCATTGGAGTCTTATTCTAATGAAGTGACATTTCCTGTAGGCTCTTTTTTATCCTCTGCTGAACATATTAGCTATAAAGATGAATTATCTATAATAACAAACTTTCACAATTAGTTTAAAACCTATTCAGAAACATTTGATTAATGTAAAGGTAAACCAATAGGGTTAGGGTTAGGGTAATGTTGTGAATCGAGTGGCCCATGATGGTGGTGGGGTTATGGTATGGACGACGAACACAGGCCACTCGATTCACAACATTACCCTAACCCTACCCCTCACACCAGATACTGACTGGTTTTCGGACCCCCCCCAATAAAGCAAAAATGCACATTTCAGAGTGGCCTTTTATTGTGGCCAGCCTAAGGCACACCTGTGCAATAATCATGCTGTCTAATCAGCATCTTGATATGTCACACCTGTGAGGTGGGATGAATTATCTCGGCAAAGGAGAAGTGCTCACTATCACAGATTTTTTCAGATTTGTGAACAATATTTGAGATAAATGATTATTTTGTGTATATAAAAAATGTTTTAGATCTTTGAGTTCATCTCATGAAAAATGGGAGCAAAAACAAAAGTGTTGCATTTATATTTTTGTTCAGTGTAGAATAAGTGAGAGGATTTCATGGTATTCTTCAATCTTCAAAATAGTGCGCACAAATCAAGTTTTTACGAAACCGTTTCTAACAGAATCAAGGATTGGCTCTTTTATTTCAGTTGTATGTTAAGAATGTCATGCCCACTTGCATTATGTAATTGGGAAATACAATTTGTCATTAACAATACCTGACAAACTACAGGATAAAGGGAACAAAGACCACATAAAATAAAGGTGTGTCTTACTTGCAGGTGTGGATAGGTGTACAGAGGTGAGCCTAAACTGGAAAGTTGTAAGCCATAATGTGTGTCCTTCATCTTGTGTTAAAACATTAGTATATTACACAGGGTTTGATTATTATGTTTAAATATACAAATATTTTAATTTTAAAAAATGTCCTTCACAACTTTAAAGTTGCGTTTTGTCTTATTTGTATTACGTTAAAAAAGCCTTCAATAGACAGTGTTTCTAGTATTTATTTTTTCAAGAGGGGGTGGAGTTGGGGAGGAGCAATTACAGTACAAGTGGTTTTGTCAAACGCACTGAGAGAGGAGTATTAGTATACGAGCTTGAGGAAGTAGAAAAGTTCTTGTCCAAAGAAACCCTGACATCTCCTGCATCATGAGCTCTGAAACTATAACCGTGAAGACCGGTGAAGCGCCAGCTGCTGCTGACATTGTTGCAGCTCCAAAGAAAGGGGAGTGGAAGGTAAGAGGCAACATGATTCGCACCACACGATGTGGCCACCATGGCCATCAGATAAGATACTAACCTGTCCTCTGTGTCCTCCAGTGCCCTCTGAGTGATAATCATGTCCACAGAGAAGATGTGAGAAAGGTTTGGAAAGAGTGCCAAGAGGAAAGCTTCTGGTACAGAGGTATTCTCTTCTTAACATTCAACATTCATTATGATAATTTTCTATCATTCTAGCAAACGCAAGCCAACAAATCTGTCAAATTACACACTGTGAATACACACCATGTGTCTTTTGTATATTCTTCAAGGTGTACTTAGTATTAGAGGTATTCGGGCAGGGATAATCTATCAACACCCCTTTTTACTAAACACTCTGTTTACATTTACCTCTGGAATTCATCCGGCCCCCAAAAACACTCCCATATGTGGACCCAGAGGGACGTTACAAATGGCATAAAGAGATTTGTTATTGCCATGTTACACTTACACTACCTTCTTTTTACGCTAACAGTGGGTCGATTAAAACGGTCTATATTCTGTGCTTATTTGTAATCCTTTGTACGGAGTTCAGTGAATTATTACAACTGCACAGAGTTCCTAAGGTTACTCTGGTCGATAAGATCTCGTTTGAAGTGGAGGTTGGTTGGAGCTAAGCCAGGGGTGTGCTCAGGTCACCCAAGCCTTTATATTACACTAAACCCCGGAACAGCACACAGAATATTGTGGAGACGGTTGTTAGCATAGGCTGCTGGAGCTAGCTTAGTTGACCAGCTACGATCCACAAACTGGTCCTTGTTTTCAACACTTTGTCTTTAGCCCTGATCCCTGTCCTTCATCTCACTGCAAACTAAGCAGCTGCTGTTTGTATTCTGTCACTATGCAGTTATATAAACATGAAACAGCACTTCCTGAATGAGAAGTCCAGTCCTTTTTCTCTTAGAAGGTTGACACATTTTTGGGTCCCATCCTTTTGCTCTAAGGAGGTAGACAGATTTTTGAGTCTCAATATTTAACAGGTCAAAGTTCAGTCAGTTTGAACTCTATTCAAGCGAGGCACAATCAATCTATGACAAGAGATAAATGTAGCTTTCACAGGAGCAAGTTAGTGTTAAATCAGTCAAGAATCTATAAAATCACCATTGTGAATATACCATTGTTGTATTATATGACCCTGTTCTCTTTCTTTCTTTCTTTAGCCCTTCCCCTCTCTATGGGGAGCATGGCTGTCACCGGTGGTTTTATCTACAACGGTAAATCACTAATAGTCAAACCCTGTTCTTGCATCATATCATAATCGCACAATGAGGCTAAGAACAAGTTTATTTCCATGCAGGTGTCTGGCAATCGTCAAAGAGATTTGGACCATTCCCAAAACTCTTAGGTGTGTACCGACCAGTGTCTTTGACTTTCTAAGCAGGAATGCCTTTATAAATCCTTAAGCAATCATGACTAACTATGATTAATTTGTTTCAGTTGCTGGGATCCTTGGTTTCGCAGTGGGAAAAGCATCTTATGTATCGACCTGCCGAAACAAATTCCAGGAGGTTGGCATTGAAGGTGGACCGGGATCTGGACCCTGGGCTAAGGGAGGTTCCTTTGGACCTTTCAATAAATCTGGTCATGGACACAGGTGGGGAATACAGTATTTCCTTGAAAACAAATATTACTAAAACCCCACAGATGCTGTCTTTTTTTTAGTTTCAAACATTGGAAATAAATGCCTTTTTAAACAATTGATTTTTACAATTGAATCTGTCCTATTTGTCCATCAACATTTCTGCTTTAATAAATAAATAATTATAATAATGAACGCTGACCAGATTGTTATCCCTACAGATCGTGCCACCATGTGTGTGAAGAATGTAAGAAGAAGGCTCAAGATGCACCTGCAGAACAAGTGAAAAGCTAGAGGTAAACAGATCCTATCTTGGCAGAGATATTTGAAAACATATTTCACGCACAATTCTGAAGCTATTAAAAAAAAACAGATTAGTGCACAGTCTAGACAAGTAAGTGACTAATAAAACTATTATTACTCGAAAATTGCAAATCTTCAAAATAAGAAAACAGGTAGAACATGATAAAGTATTTGACTGTCAGGTGTGGTTATGTTTTACCATGGTAAAGTAATGTGCTGTTGATGTATTCCTTTTTAATTTTCAGGATCGTCAGAAACACTGAAGGACTGACTGCCAGTGTTGATGTATCACTTTTTTAGTTTCTTAAATGCCATGAATACAGCATATATTTTGTCTAAAGTAACTTTGATATGTTGCACATCATTATTCATTCGGGAGAAACCTGACACAAAATTGCCACCAGGGGTAGCTCTCATGCTTTCAGTCAAAGATCCTTTGTAATGTATTTCATCTGACCATATACCATTTGATTTTCATATAGCGAGTGCCTTAATCAGATGTAATTTGATTTCATTATCCATAGCCGTGGGAACATGTTTCAAATGGGGGGTGCTGTGGGGATGACACCAGGGCCGGTTTTGACCAATTTGCTGCCCTAGGCAAGATTTTAGCTGGCAATGAAAAACCTCTACAAAAGACCACAGACAAACAGAGAAACGTATTGATATGGTGGACAGCTTATATAAAACGGCTTGAAATGTATTTAGTATTGCTTGAACATTATTGGACTCAGGATTAATTCATTTGGATTCCCGCTGTATGAAGAAATTAAAGGAAGGCGCGGAAGTGGAAACAATTCACAAAGGGATTAAACTGTTTAAAACACATGCTCAAAGTAAGCCGGATTTTGCCGTTGTGTTTATGTGGATTCAAAAGTCATAAATAATCTACAAAATGGAGGAGACCGATCTGATCGGAGCAACTGACAAATAATCCAACTGAAACCGGTATGGACAATGACTATGTTTTTAAAAATGCGCTTATCCAGAAAAGCCTGGTTTGGACACTTTACGGGCGGAAGAAACATTTATATTAAAGAAACAATTACATTTCTGTCTTTGTATGCCTTTAATAGCTACTAACTTGAATTTGTATTCAAATGAATCAATCAATTCTTTTTTATATTTTATTGTAATGTAGAGACATGGCCTTTAACAATTATATGTATACAAAAAAAAAAAAGTCTAAATATGATATTTGGCGCCAGGTTGGGCACCACTGATCTAGGGCAGTGTTTCCCAACCGGGGGTACGCGTACCCCTAGTGGTACGCGAGGGAACTGTAGGGGGTACGTGGAATTCCAAGGTGACAAGTAAAACAAATAATAATCCCGTCAAAAATGATAGTGCGCGATTTGTTTCCCTAGGGAGACAATAGTCTGTGGCACGCACAACCGCGCCAAAATCCTTGAATACTTTTCATTGTTAGGGGGGCCACAGGGGGGTCAGAGGTCAGTGTTAGGGGGCACTGCCCCCCCCCCCCTAGAACCGCCCCTGCACCAAACACTCGGGAAGTGTCGATAAAAGTGAAGAATTTTACAGATGAAAGCTGTCGGAATTTAAGTCGAGCCAGACAGTAATGATGAAAGCCACGAATGTGTCAATGAAAGCACTCGAGGCATCTTACGCCGTGTCCCTGCTTGTGGCTAAATAAAAAAAAACCTCACTCTATTGTTGAGGAGCTCATTCTCCCTGCAGCGACTGCGTTGGCCGAAATTATGATAGACAAGAAAGCTGCCGAAGCACTCAAGAAAGTTCCCCTGTCGAATAACACCGTATCCCGTCGGATCAATGATATGTCTGTGAATATAATTGGACAAGTGGTGAACAAAATAAAACTAGCCGGTCAGTTCGCTTTGCAGCTGGATGAAATGACAGATGTGAGTGGAGAAGCGCAGCTCCTGTCCTTCGTGCGTTACAAAGATGCGTCGGACATAAACTATGGCGGTTATTCCCTATCTTTATTCAAGAGCGTGGTATTTAAATTTGAGAGCATACTTTATGTATTTATTTCCCTCAAACCCTGTCCTCGCACTCCAATAGTGCCTGCTTGCACTTAGATTAGCTCTGCTTCTGCTCAAACTGTACGCTTGCACTCAGATATATTGCTGTTTACAGATTGTTTCTGCTCTCAGATTTATTCTGTGGGCGCTCGAAACTTTTGTGCAACAATCCTGTCAAAATCCCTCAACCAATAGGAGGCCAGGTGTCCTTGCAGGTGCGTTCGCTTTACTTATTACAGCGTCCCGTAAGGGCGGTTACTCTTTGG